GAAGCTTTCAAAAATGAAAACATGACTGATTTGGGATAAACGTGAATGTGGGAACACTAGTGAAATCACAATTTTGAAAAACATGATGATGTCTATTTTAACGGCATAGAGCAATATGAACTCAAGGCTAGACATCATACATAAAACAGCTCATTTAATACTCACAGGCAATCTGTAAAGCAAGTATTAGGCATGCTATCTTATACGGCTGAGTGACTTGATGTTCAGAGAGGAGAGCAGCTAACAGCGGGTAAGTGGCATCCCTGTCACTGTTTACATTGTATTGATCTTGCCCAAGGATGGAGGGACAGGTAAATGGATGGGCAGATGAAGAGCAGAAGAAAAGGCAACTGACTCTCACAGTCCTCAGTTAGCTAAAGGGGTGGAGCTATTTAAAAGAATAAATGAGAGGCCGGGAGCAGTGGCTCAAGCCTGTAATCCCAGCACTTTGGGAGGCCAAGGTGGGAGGATCATGAGGTCAAGACATCGAGACCATCCTGGCCAACATGGTAAAACCCACTCTCTACTAAAAATACAAATATTAGCCAGGGGTGGTGGCACGTGCCTGTAATCCCAGCTACTTGGGAGGCTGAGGCAGGAGAATCACTTGAACCTGGGAGGTGGAGGTTGCAGTGAGCTGAGATCATGCCACTGCACTCCAGCCTGGTCAACAGAGCAAGACTCTGCCAAAAAAAAAAAGAAAAGAATAAATGAGAGTGAATGGTAATTGGCTTTTCAGCAGTTACCAGGAAAAGGAAAAGGGAAGAGATGGAACTACTATTAATTATTAGAACTTGTATTCTGAAGCCAAGCTGCCTAGGTTCAAAGCTCAGATCCACACTTGCTGGATGACCTTGGTGCCACAGTTACCTCGTCTACAAAGTGGGAACATTATAACCTGCAAGGTCATTGTGAAAATTAAATGAGCTACATAAAATAATATGTGACGGATTTAGAACTTTGCCTAGGGGCTAGCAAGTGCTCAGTGAGTATTGGCTATCATTATTCACATTTTGTATGAGGACACTGAGGCCCAGAGAGGAAGATAATTGCTTATTCATTCATATTCATTCTCTCTCTCTCTCTCTCTCTCTCTCTCTTTCTGAGACAGGGTCTCATTCTGTCACCCAGGCTGCAGTGCGGTTGCAACCTCCACCTCCTGGGTTCAAGGAATTCTCCTGCCTCAGTCACCTGAGTAGCTGGAATTACAGGCACGCACCACCATGCCTGGCTAATTTTTGGATTTTTAGTAGACACAGGGTTTCACCATGTTGGTCAGGCTGGTCTTGAACTCCTGACCTCATGATTCACCCGCCTTGGCCTCCCAAAGTGCTGGGATTACAGGTGTGAGCCACTGTTCCCGACCTGATCTGCACTATTTCTAAACTGCCATAAATATTTGTTGGATGAATGAATCTTATAATTATATTACTCAAGCCACCTTCTTCAAAGACCATGATAAATCCGTCTTAAAACTCAAGGAATTCCTAGAGATTATTGTTGGAAACATAATCATCATCATAATAATTTTTAAAGAACAAACAAAAAACTCAGAGACTTTATTTTATCTGACAAACTTCCTAAAATCCCATATCAGGTCTGAAATCCCATATCAGAAACCCTTGGATGTATTTCAGATGCATTTCAGAACTTGGAATTTTCCAATCTTACAGAGAACTGGAGTGCGTGTACTTTACGCTCTGCAATCCTCGATAGGGGTCTGGGCTAGCGTCTCATGATTAAGCAGCCTAATAGTTCTGCAGAGAACTGCATGAATATTCACACCAATAAGACTATAAACAGGCCAGCATCATCTCAGGTCAGAATTTGCGACCAAAAAAGTTCCTGCAAATAGAAAATTTCAGAATCTGGAGATTTGGGGACTTCAGAATGGCAGATAGGGCACTGTGACCTGTGATGCCCCCTCCTCCAGGCTGCTCTGAGGAGTCTGGATTTGTGCCTCGCCAACGTTTACCAAGCGCTCACCATACAGGCACTGTTCTAAGCTTGTTTACATGAGTTGTCTCCGTTAGTTCTCAGAAGTAGATCAAAATAAGGCCTAGAGAGAGTAACCTAAAGTATGGAGCTGGAATTTAGCCTTCAGTGTGTGCGATTGGCTGATAAAGTTTCCCAGCCAGAGGGGTGTTACCAGTGTTCTTTCCCCTTCGTCCCTGACTTTTTATTTTTTGGTTATGTTCTTTTTTTAAGAGACAGGGTCTCTGTCACCCAGGCTGGAGTGCAGTGGTACAATCATAGCTCACTACAGCCTTGAACTCCTGGGCTCAACTGATCCTTCCTCCTCAGCTTCCCAAGTAGCTGGAACCACAGGCATACCACCATGCCCAGCTAATTTTTGGTACAGATGGGGTCTCATTATGTTGTGCAGGCTCTCAAACTCCTGGGCTCAAGCAATCCTCCTGCCTTGGCCTCCCAAAGTGCTGAGATTATAGGCATGAGCCATCATGCCCAGCGACAATCATACTTTCATAACAAGGTGTGTTAGTCCGTTTTCACGCTGCTGATAAAGACATACCTGAGCCTGGGAAATTTACAAAAGGAAGAGGTTTATTGGACTGCAGTTCCACACGGCTGGGTAAGCCTCCCAATTACAGGGGAAGGCAAGGAGCAGGTCACATGTGGATAGCAGCAGGCAAAAAGAGGGCTTATGCAGAGAAACTCCCCTTTTTAAAACCATCAGATCCTGTGAGAACCATTCACTATCATGAGAACAGCACAGCAGAGACCCACCCCCATGATTTAATTATCTCCCACTGGGTCCCTCCCACAACACATGGAAATTATGGGGGCTACAAGATAAGATTTGGGTGGGGACACAGAGCCTAGCCATACTGTTCTGCCCCTGGACCCTCCCAAATCACATATCTTCACATTTCAAAACCAATCATGCCTTCCCAACGGTCCTCCAAAGTCTCAACTCATTTCGGCATTAACTCAAAAGTCCACAGTCTCATCTGAGACAAGGCAAGTTGCTTCTACCTATGAGCCTGTACAATCAAAAGCAAGTTAGTCACTCCCTAGATACAGTGGAGGTACAGGCACTGGGTAAATACAGCCATTCCAGATGGGAGAAACTGGCCAAAACAAAGGGGCTACAGGCCCCATGCAAGTCCGAAATCCAGCGGGGCAGTCAAATCTTAAAGCGCCAAAATGATCTCCCACCTGGTCCCTCCCACAGCACACGGGGATTATGGGAGCTACAAGATGAGATTTGGGTGGGGACACAGAGCCAAACCACATCACAAGGACTTTAAGTTCTTCAAGAAGTTTTACGGATATAGCAGAGTCCGCCTCTAACAACAGTAACAGTAACTTGCCAAGACAATTTCACCAAGATAATTTCTAGGCAGGCAAACAGAATCCTATTTTGATTAAAGCTTGGACAAAGGCAATGAACAGGCAACCCCAGGACCGCAGGTGGTTAGATCCAGGGATTTTAGCTCAGTTTTGCAAACAGAGGGCCTCCTTTGGCTTTCCCAGTCCATCAGTCCCATTTGAGTCAATGCTTGTTAGGGAGCACCAGCCATGTACGAGGCACTGTGCAGGATGTATTGGAGCTGGAAGCCAGGGAGTGGATGGAGAAGGCAAAGAAGGGCACTCCACACCTAAGATATTGCGTCGTGTGTTTAGAGAAGGCAGAGTAGTCAGCAAGGCCAGAGCTGGGCTTATAGGCAGGTGATGGAAAACAGGGGCTGCAAAGAGTCTCGGGCTGAAATTGACATGCTCCGAATGCCAGCTGAGGGATGTGTGCCTTAGCCCCACGGTTCCGGAAGCCCCAGAAGGCGGTGGGACAGAGGCGCCCCAAGGACACTTGAGATCTTGTCTGTCTTCCTCACAGCCATCTCCCCCATGCCTGGGACAGTACCTGGCACCTCTGTCAATGGAAGGAAACAATAAACAAATGACCTACGTTGGAGAACATCCTTAAATGTAGAGGGTGGTGAAGGACTAAGTCAGGAGGCGCCCATTAAGAACTCACAGCAATATGGAACCCAGGAGGCAGAGGTCGCAGTGAACTGAGATTGCGCTACCGCACTCCAGCCTGTGCAACACAGCGAGACTCCGTCTCAAAAACAAAAACAAAAACTCACAGCAGTCATCTGGGTGAGAACTGACCAGAGAAACAGCGGTAATGGATACGGAGAGGAGAGCACACAGGCAATCAACAGTGAGGGTGGGCTCAGCAGGACTTGTAGATTGATGGAACACAGTGGCCAAAGGGCAAGAGGTGTCTAAGACACCTGGCCAGCATCCTGGCGGAGGAGGGAGAAGGGGAATGGGCTGCTTGGGGGAAGAAAACTATAGGGCTTGGAGAGGCAAGATGCCCCAGGCCCACCCCGGAGAACAGCATTTGCATCCTCCACTGAGAAAATATTGTGGGGAGGAGCTAGCGCGGGCGGTGAGAAGCAAACAGCGTGGAAAGTGAGAAAGAGCATGGCTACCGCAGCCTCCTGCAGAGGGCAGACAGCCTCCCTGTGGCTCTTTGCTCTGCTCCCCAGGCCATGTAGCCCCTTATTCAGAGACACAGCCCTAAGACAGAGGAATGGCTAAATAACAGGAGGGGAAGCAGGGATGCAAGGGCGTGCAACTCATCGGGGTAGGGAGTGGTACCAAACGGGGACCTCTGGCAGCAGCTGAGGTGTCAGAGAACACAGAAGACGTGAGGAGGGCCCATCTCAGCAGTGGGAGCTCACAGGGAGGTTTTCAAGCCACATCTGAGCTAAGGCTGGCAGGACTGATGATGGATTCGATACTTCATGGGGAGAGGGCCAGGGTGGCTCCTTTTCCCATGTATAGGCATAAGTTTTAGGTTTGGGTGATGATGTCATTACATTGGAGTTCCCTGAACCATGTTCCAGAAACTTTGGGAAGCTAGAAGCAGCCAGGGAGCTGCTCATGTCTGTGACACAGCCCCCACCCCTCCCCATCCTCTATAGATATAGTCTACAGGCCAGTGCAGGGGGCTTCAGGTGCCCAGGGCACATGCTCAGCATGATCCTCCAACAGCCAGCCCTCAGATGGCACGTGGCTCCCAGCAGGGACTTTGAAATGCTGAAATCTCACCCAGCCACATAGGCCACTTGGGAAGAATCCATACAAGGGTCTGCAGGCCCACCCTTCCTCTCAGGCTCACAGAGAAAGCCCGGGCGGAGAGGTGGACCACAAGTTCAACGTGCACAGGACCATAGCTTTGGGTCTGAAATTTATTGAGTGCCTATTATGTGCCAAGCTCTGTACTAGACACTGGGGATACAAAGATAAATGTGACATGGTCCCTGACTTCAAGGACTTCACAGTTCATTGGAAAAACTGACATAAAACCAAATGATTAAAATGCCTAAGGCCATTCTAAGAATTGAATAAGCTGGGCATAAGTGGGGAAGGTGGGGGGAAGACTGTCACCTAATCCTCACGCCAACAGCCTGGGAGAGGTGGTGTTGGCCCGTTTTACAGGTGAAGAAAGTGAGGTTACAATGGTGAAAGCACTTGCCTCAGGTCACACTAGGAAGAGACACTGCTGGCAGCGTGCCGGAGTGTGCCACACAGCCTCGTGCGAGTCACTTCTGTGCTTCTCCCCTGACTCTTTGCTCTGGCTCAGCTCACTGGTAGCTTGAAATCTACCAACAGATGGGTCACAGAAATCAGCAAGCACTACCAAGCAGGGGATAGCCTGGATTCAGATCCCAGTTTGAAACCAAAGACTGCCTCCAGTCTCCCCCAGAACATTCTCTGAATTGAACCCCCACTCCTTCTAAAAAGCCTGCCTCCCCAGGAGACTCAAGAAGCTTGTCCCCGACAATACCAAAAAGACAATGGATATGGCCCACCTTGGGAGTCCCCAAGGGCTGTGCAACTCCGTCGAGTCACCGACCACCCTTCTGAGTGACTCACCTGCTCACCCTGCTGAGCTAGCATCTCAGCAGACACATGTGGGCCAGATAAGCCAGTGGGCCCGGGACGGGAGGGACAGAGCGGCCCAGGAGGAAGAGGAGGCTGGGACAGCGCGTTCCTGGTTAGTGTGATTCGCTGCTGAATCTCTGTCTCCCCCACCAGCTCCACAGGACTGTGGCTGGCCTCACTAACCCAGGGAGACCAGGTGCAAGCAGCACACCCGGGCGGCAGGGAGCCCCAGACCAACACGTGTTCAGTGAATGAATGAGCTAGTGAAGGAGGCAGGAGGCCATCAACGCTGAGGGTGTACACCTGCCTCCCCCAGCATCGTCCACCCGCCCTGTGGGGAGGGAGGGGAGGCCGCAGGAGAGCTGGGCTGCCGGGGTAGAGCCCAGGTTCTGCTGCTCACTAGGTAACCTGTGCCTCAGCGTCCTCCGCCATAAAACGGGGTCTGGGGCTTGTCCTGAGAACTAAATGAGTTAACGTTTGTGAAGCACCTGGCCGCAGTCAGCGCTGTGTGTTAAATCCGTAAGGAAGACCCCCCCGCCCCCCACTCCCCAGATCGCTCCGTCTGCGGGCAGAGAGCGTTTTCCCCTCTGCTCTTCCAAGGTGCGCGTTCAGCCCGTTCCACCCCGAGGGGGCTTCCCTCCTGGGGGAGAGGACCCCTGCCTTGCCCGAGCTCTGAGCGTCCTCCCCTTCCCCCCACCCGTCCCACCTCCAGCGTCCCCACCCACCCACCTCTGTCTCTCTGTAAGTGGCCCTGAGCCTCGTCTAGTCCGCCTGGCCCCCAGGCTCGCGGACGGCGCCCCAGCAGCCCCGCTGTGGGCTGGGGGTCCGGGGGGCCGCAGGCTGGACGCGCCGCCCCAGCCAGAGCCAGGGCCCGGCCCGCACGCCGCGGGCGCCACCCGGTGGCCAACTGCGGAATCGGCGGCGCAGGCGGCCTGCAGAGCCTGGAGGCCCAGAGGGTGCCCGGGCTGACAAAAGGGAGAGAAGGTGGAAGGAAGGGCGCATCACCAAAGAGGCTGTCGGTCACAGAGCAATTCACTCAGTCCAGGAGGCAGTGATCCGCGAGCAGGGTTGCATGGGGGCCGGCGCGCAGAGCCTGCAGGGGCCCTTTCTCCCTATGGGTTAGACAGCCCCTCCCCAGAAGTGACCCCTCCCATAGGATAATCTTTGGCAGGAGTCTGAGGTTCCTGCTCCTGGAATCCCTGGCTTCCCTGTGCCAAGCGCATTACACCCACAGCGCCACAGCTATGGGCTGATGAGAAGACAAACACGGGACTCTACACCCTGACGCTGGAGCATATATAGCCTCGTTCCCTGGCTAGGGTCCCTGGGGAATAGCATTTGGGGGAGAGTCCAGGTTCTAATCCCAGCTCTGCCCTGACTCTACGTGAGCCCTAGCCCATCTGTGCCTCGATGTTCCCATCTGTGAAAAAAAGGATGATAAAAATAAAAATCCACCCAACTTCTCTCCCGGAGGTGAGGAGGTAAGGCTTACACGAAATAATGCCGATGAAAGCATTCTGAAGATCAAAACCCACGGCATTCAAAGTTTCTGATCCATGATAACTTTAGTAACCAGTTGAATACAAGGAAATACAAACACACTTACTCAAAAAGTAAGCCCCTCAAGTTCTGACATTAAAAACTTCTTAAACAAGAGACTTTCATTTGGAGGGGAAAGAAAGGAGCATGCAGTTGAGATCCAAAAATACAAAGTTCCATATGGGGAATTTAAATGATCTTAGGATTTTACTATATAAAATTTAAAGGCAGCTCGCTCTTCAGGAAACTAGTAGAATAGACATTACAATCCCCAAAGATGTCCGGAGGACAAAGGAGGAGCCCAGAGTTAACTAGGGTCCGACTTGATCTGCTTCAAACACAGAATCACAGAACCTCACGGTGACCTAGACATCCCAGCAGGCACCAGCCTCTATGCAGAGTGCACATGAACACTTCCACCCGGCCACGTGTGCGGGCTCTTCCTTGTACAAGAACAAATCCACCTACAGGCCATATTCTGATAGCCACAGGTGGAACCCAGGCCCCTGGCTATTGGCCCAGGATCATGAGAACAAAGCTGTCCCCCGCTTCAGAGTTCAAACCTGGAATCTCAAGGCAGGATGAGAATTGACCCCAGAGTGAGGAGACAGGCAGCCCTGTCCCAACCTCTACCCCACAAAAACTGCAGCGAGCCAAAAAACTTCATTCCCTCACCGCCTGTATGCCATGGGCAGCAGCTGCCGGGGGAGTGAGAGCACGTGCTTCAGGAGAGAGGGTTGGGACAGCTCTGGCAGGGCAGACCCAAGTGAGGGATTTCAGCTCCTCTAAAAGTCATTTTTGACACGCAGCGTCCTTTACTGATCCTAGCAGCCGCCCCCTCTTCCCTTCCCCCTCTCTTACTGCCTTCCTCCTGAAGTAGAGAGGGTCGCATACACCATCACAGCCTATATGTATTTCTGCTTCACCATGTTCTTGTCCCAATTTGTTCTGTTCCTCAGGCTTTTCTCCCCCTTGCAGCACATGTTGCCTTGCAATATCTATTTTCCCTGTGGCCTTCCAGAGCGCCAGGATCTCTGGGAGTGAACCTTGACAGGTGCCTCCTCTGAATCCCCCAAGCCCCGTGGGTCATCAGTTTTCAATGAGCTCTATGTGCACTTGCACAGAGGCAGGCAGAGGGATGAGACCCCTAGCAGCTGAGTGGACGGCAGCACTCTGATTCAATTCTCACCCTGTTTAGAAGTTCCAGGTCCTGGATTCCGAGGTGAGGGGCAGACCCAGCCTCACGGTAGCAATATGGGTTTCAAATTAATTCAACAATTCCGTGTTGCTCTTAGTCTGGCTTCGGCACTGCGCTGGGTATTGAGGAACTTCAAAGGCAAAATGAGAAGATCTCAAGACTCCCGCACCTCCCGTTTCATTCTGACCCAAGGAAGAAGAGCATTCATCTGATTGGTCAGATTTCAGGACACTGACTGACATATTTGGAAGTGGGTGTGGTCACTATGCATAAAAGATGAGCTGAGGATGTGGCTGCAGAGGGTCTCTGTTCACCCAGCAGAGAAGATGCGCTTCACTGGCCCAGGCTGAGGCAGTTCCTTGTCCTTCCATGTGGCTGGCCAGAGCACAAGAAGAGCAGAGATCTGGGGAGAACAGGGCCCCCATGCTTAGCCCAGCCAACCTCAGTTCTCTGCATGGGTTTATGGTCCAAGCCCAGCTACCAGCAAAGGTGACTCTGCTTCCTCCTCTGTTCTTCCTCTAGGGCTCTTTCCGGGACTTTGCGGGTAGTGGTTGCCAGGGTCTAGGTCTGCCTAAATGCCCTAGCCCTTACACATGGATTAGCACCTCAGTACTGCCAGTAGTTTTGATAAGGAGCCATCACCCTCCAGCTCAGCAGGGAGGCTGGCACAGTGCTGCAGGAGGAGGGAAGGGCTAGAATATGGTTTCATCAGGGACTTGGGAAAAGCTTCACAGACACGGTGGAGTCTCACACTGAACTTGAAAGACACATAGGATTCCGTAGAAAGTTGGAGGCATGGCAAAATTGGCAAATGGGATCCAATTAAACTAAAGAGCTTCTGCACAGCAAAATAAACTATCATCAGAGTGAACATCAGAGCACTGCCTCCTCCTGGAAGCAGCCCCTGGGTCCCACAGTCAGACGTAGTCAAATGCCCTTCTTCCCCAGCACAGCTTCTCACTCACCTCCATCCTAACGCTTGGGCCGGGTGAGCTGCAGTTAGTGCTTCACTGCTCTGCTTCCCCAGTCTTCCCAAAGCCTTTTGAAGACAGATGTTTCATTTATCCAACATGTATGCAACAATATTTCTTAAGCACCTACTATGTTCTAACTCCCCGGTGCTGAGAACTCGCTGTGGAGCAAGGAATGCTTGGTCCAGTGGAGGCAGAAGGTGGCTGTTTGATCCGACACGGGGCTAGCTCTCCCTGACTCTTCATTCCTCACCACTAGCAAAGCCTAGCACAGAGAAGACCCTAAACAAGTGATGGTGGAGGAAAAAGAGGACGTGATGCTTGAGACGTGTTGCAACTAGGAACAGAGGGCTGGAGCTCAGGAGAGGTGACCACGTAGAAGGGATAGTTTTGGAATTCCACCCTGCTCATCTATAAGTTCATGCGAATTGCATTAAACCTGATGTGGAGAGCCCGTGGGGATCTTGGACCTTAGAGGAAACGTGAAGAAAATGAGCAGTTCTCGTCCGCGTTGCCCCTGCACTCCCAGCACTGCTTGCAGGAACAGGAGACAGACACGTCCCTGGCACAGGGAGGCTGCTCCCACTCAGAGCACATCTGTTGAAGGGATGAGGACACGAGTCTGCCTGCACCCTAAGGCCAGGCATCAGCTGAGCATCCAATGCTTACACTACAGAGAGCTGCTGTCCAAGGAAGAGTGAGAAACAGTGGGGAGGGGCGCAGCTGCCTCCATGCAGTGTCCCAGCAGCAAATCACGTCCGCAGGCTGGAGACCCACCAGTGACTTTCTTCTCTTCCTAATTCAATGTAAGATTTCAGTTCCATCCGAGTGCCTGTGGCACGGAGAAAATTAAATGTAGATCCCAAAGTGACATTGAAAATGGAACGAGCCTATTCTGAGCATCATTTCTGCTGGTCCTAAAAAAGAATTATCCAAATTCTCACTGAAGAGCTCCCCTTCTGGCTCCCTGGGGGAAGCCAGCCCAGGTGAGGGCTCCTTCACTGTAGCGCAGCTCTAAAATGCACTGCGTAAGTTCTTGTGGACAAATTGCCACTAGGAACAGCTTCTAGTTATCTGAAAACACTTTCAAGTAAACAAGCCCATCCCAGTCAAATTGCATGGCTTAGCTTTGGAGGTTTCTGAACTTCTGAGCCCTTTTGCCATCCCAGCCCCACCCCTACAGTGCCTACAACCTTTAGCTCCTCCTCCAATGAGGATTCTAGACCGAAAGATCCATGAGGCAGGGGCCATGCCATGGTTCACTACCACAACGTCTAGTACATCTCCTGGAACATAGCAGGCCCTTGCTAAGCACTTGCTATGTGGATTCAACACCTCCCTTGTATAAGATATAAAGATGTATAGGAGGCTGGGCATGGTGGCTCACACCTGTAATCCTGGCACTTTGGGAGGCCGAGGTGGGTGGATCCCCTGAAGTCAGGAGTTTGAGACCAGCCTGGCCAACATGGTGAAACTCCATCTCTACTAAAAACACAAAAGTTAGCTGGGGGTAGTGGTGTGCACCTGTAATCACAGCTATTCAGGAGGCTGAGGCAGAAGAATCACTTGAAGCTGGGAGGCAGATGTTGCAGTGAGCTGAGATCGTGCCATTGCACTCCAGCCTGGGCACGAAGAGTGAAACTCCACCTCAAAAAAAAGAAAGATATATAGGATACGTTTCCCACTTTTAGGCCCATCCTCCTTCTTCGGACACAATCTGAAGAGGGTGGCCCGGTCTCTTCCCACCCATAGTGCTTTCTGCAGATGTGCCAGGGCTGGACAGCCCCAGCAGTGAGACTCACTCCTGGGTGGCACTAGGGTCAGAAGCGCACATGTGTAACCGCTGGGGCCCCTTCAGTCCTCCAGCCAGGACTCTTCCTCTGAGCCTACAAAGAATGCAAGCTGGTTTCCCTGCTTCTCGACACTCATCTTCCCCCATCAGCCCAGCACCCCCTGGCCCCTCTAGGATGCTTCCAGGAACATACAGCACCGTTTAGAGAGGATCAAATGGCATGGCTTCTTTAGCAAGCTGGAACACTCAGGCCAGCCCGATTCCTTCTGCTTTATTTCAGACAACCAGGTGTAACAGCAGAATTCCTCATCCTCATTAGAGAGGTATGGTGCACAGCCCATGGAGAGACATCATGGTTAAGAGGC